ATGAGATGACACGTTTATCGTTTAGGAATAGAGAAACCTATTTTGTTCGAGCGAAGTTAGATAACCAGTTTTGGTAAAGTTAAAACCATGAACAAACCTTTGGATTACTCTGGTAATAGTTTGTTACCATCCAGTTTATCGTAACAGGGTTGGAGAAATTTTAGAAGAAAAATACAACAATCCTGTCACAAATTTGGTGCCATTTTCACGCCGATATATCTACTTATTTAAATATACGATAAGCTGGTAAATGTGATAGAACTAAAAGCGTGGTACACTGAGTGTGTAGAAAAACTTATAAAGATGACCAAAAAACGAAACCTAATTTTATTAGACGTTAACGCTAAGTTGGATAAAGGAAAGATTTCTGGATTGATTGGAGACGTCAGGCTTAGAGTATTGAAAGACAGGGAGAGGAAATGATTTAATTGTGTTAACAACACAACGTGGTAGCAACAAATACATGGCTTTAATTACATCGCTGCAGATATTCACTTGGACTTGGACACCACAACGTGATGAAAGCAGAGCAATTCATAACCAAATAGATTAAATATCGGTCAACAGAAGATATCACAATGCTATCCAGTGCAAACACATATCCTGGAACTGACAAATTCTGATCATAATCCTGTTTTTTTAAAAGTGCGCACAGGATGGAAACTAATAAAGAAACAAATCTCTCAAGACAAACTAGACATTCAATTATTAAAAAATGATACTATAATTACACAAGAGACAGTACACAAAGAATTAATTAGGAAATATTGACCACCATAGAATTACCGAACCGCTGCCGTAAACGTCCTGTCTTCTTCTCGTGCCACTCCTAGCGGAGAATGGAATTCATCATGGCCACTGCGACTTTGATAGCAGCGCGCCTAAAAGGTTCAATCGAACTACACCCGAACCATTCACGTAGATTACGAAGCCACGATATTTTTCTTCTTCCCACACTTCTTTTGCCCTTAATTTTGCCCTGCATGATGCTTCTTAAAAGTTCGTACTTTTCACCTCTCACAATGTGCCCCAAGAATTCCATCTTTCTAGTTTTTATTTCATTTAGAATTTCGCATCTTTTGTCTAAAGTTTGGAGTACTTGCGTGTTAGTGACGCGGTCCATCCATGATATTCTGAGAATGCGCCTATAGCACCACATCTCGAAAGCTTCGATGTTTTTTATGGTCAACTGTTTTAGTGTCCAAGCCTCAACTCCATATAACAGGGTAGAAAAGACATAGCACCGCAGAATTCGTATTCGTAACTTTATATTGATATCACAATTGCAAAAGAGTTTGCGCATTCTATTAAAGACTGATCTAGCGATTTCTATTCTACATCTAATCTCTTTTGTTTGATCAGTATCGTCTGTGATCCAAGCACCTAGATATTTATAACAGGGCACACGCTCAATCGTTGTATTGTCTATTACAAGATTAGCGTTAAACGTCCTGTGGAAAACTATTAAAGAGCAAATGAACAATGTAATAGCACCTAGATACAGAGCAAACAGGAATGGATAACAGAAGAGATTTTATCATTAATAGACAAACTAGGAGAATCCAAAGGAAAACGTGACAGAGAATCAATATAACCATTATTGTTGGCTCAACAATCCTTTGTGGATCTTGGTCTGCTCCAACATTCACTGATATTTTGTCATTGGTCTATAATATTAAGTCGGTTACAACTCCATTTAATTACCTACTTCACGGTCGACCTTTGGTTCTTCTTCCTACAATCATGTTGTCTGGCATTCATATTATATATTCAGTTTAGCTCATCTATGTCGCTGTGTTTTAATGAACGTTACGACGTCTGGTTTGTTAAAGAGTTGGTATAATTCAAATTAATATCTTTGGTACTACTGCTCTTGATGGTTTATAGTTCCAAATAATTCGCGGAGTATTTTACGCTCGAATATTCCCAAAAGTCTTTCAGCCTTTTTTTGGAGCCATTATCAAGAGGGATACGGTTCCGTTCAAGTTCGAGGTCTGAATCCGCCTACTCCCCTCAATTGAGACGTACCAGTATCTTTTCTATAAAAAGACACAGGGTAAGACCAGTCGTCACTTGACTCTGAGAAGTAGGCAGATTGAGACTTCAGTGCGGTTCTTGTATTTTTACAGAACAAGAGACTGGTACATCTCGAGTGAGGGAAAAAGGCAGATTGAGACCCCTAACTCGAACGCAACCGTAACACTCTTGAAAATGGCTCCAAAATGGGTTCGAAACGTCGAGTTTCAAATTCTCAACGCGGTTGAGATTAAACAATTAAAAGTTATTATAGTTTTTAAAAAGATGAAAATTTGAGACCTGTGACTCTAAGCACTCAGATTCTTTTGAGAATTTATTGTCAGCGAAGCATGTTCAACAAACAAGGATATAAACTACAGATAAAATATACATAAAACTTTAGGAGTTACTAACTCTTATTCCAATTTATATTTTTGAACATATATTAAACGACACTAAAGCTACCTCCTAGAAAAATGAAAGAGACACTAAGTTTGTATAGTAGTCAAATAAAAGGCACAAGCATTGATACTGATCCTGATGAGATTAGAGATTTTTTTTGGTGATTGGTATCAAAATAGATCTTCCTTCCTATGGAGATTATTGGGCCAGTGAAACACGTATCGAACAAGTTGCAGCGTCATATCGATTAGGCGTTTTAAACTTCTAAGAAGATTTATTCATTTCAATAATAATGAACACAAACTACAATAGATAGGTGTTTCAAAATATGTCTGCTTTTAGAAAAAGTTTAGAGAAAATTTTAAGTTTCACACTGGAAATGAATACTCTATTGATGAAACTATGGTAGCGTACAAAGGAACACGAGCTGGAAATTTACGTCAGTAGTCTGGTTGTATTTCGGATTTTATTTCATACCAAGTTTCAAGCAGCTTAGAAGAATTAAACGGCACACCTAATGAACTAGGGCAGGATGAGATAGAACTAGGTGTGGGAGCAGCTATTGTTATAGCTTTATCAAAATCAATACAATCCACACGGAAAATGAAATTCCTGTAGTTCGCTGTATATCATCAATCACAAAAGTTTATTTAGAATCCTTTATAAAAGCTATATAATTTAAAATCCCTTACGGGTTACATCACAGAACTTTTTCGGACTAAAAAGCGCATCATCAGTGTTTTGTTACTCGGTGCACATGAGCTAACCAATACCTGGGTAAAAACCCTTTAGATGGTAAAAAATTTAATACTTCTTACATTTTATTGAAAATTATGTTGTGATGTTTGAATATTTCTCAGATAATCTACATGACAACGTAAGACCGTAATGGTTTCTAATCTAGAACTCATTCAGACATTGTCTGAGGGTCAGCAGCAATCCCTAGTAAGAGTCACTTGGTATTATTATCATTATTCAAATAGTATTATTTTAAATAAAAATATTATTAAGTTTGTAAATTATTACTAACAAATGTTCTAACTCGACGATTTTTTTCTCGAAGGTTTTCGACCAATATATTTTCTTTATTCTCCGTATCGGAGCTATCAGAAACTTAAGGAGGAGGTGGTATTTTACCCCCCAATTTTCAGAAGAAACTATATGAAGAAACCTCATTAATCCATCCATAACAGCAAAACGCTGAAAACGACAAACTTTTACTGATAATAATTGTTACCATATGGTTACCAATGTTTTTGGATAAAGTTATATTATCAATTATCGTTATATTATATATAATATGTAACACAAATTATTAAATATAGGTTCAAGAAACCATCGTTGAATTGAATGCATAGAAATATATTTTTACTCGCCAAAAATTCTTATTAGGCATGTACACAGCTAACCTAACAACTGACAGAAGAACGTGCAAAATCTACAAACATATGAAAAATGGCTGGCAACATTAACTATTGATTGACGTTCTCCCACCGCAAAATGACCGATGCTATATGCCTACACTGAACAGCACGCCTTGTAAAGTATAGTTTGAGTAACATACATATTTGAATTCAACGTAACCGTATGGTTGCATTATCCAGTAAAGGTTATTGAAATGTTTTTGAATGTGTCCGATAAAGGGTTAAAGTATTTTTATTGTAATGTTATGGAATAAAATAGCACTATTTATTTTTGTATCCCGTTGAAGATTGGGTGTCCTCACCGTCCAGTGAAAGCTGTAAATGGTTGGTCAAAGTTTTCTTTTTCATAACGTTGACCTCTTTTTGTCTCGCTGTTTCTTCTATAGGCTTGAACCATACAAGCTTCGTCGATATGTTTCAACCAACTCGTTGCTATTTCTTAAATTTTTATTTTTATTCAATTTTGCTGAAGAACTGAGTAATTCAGAATTGTTTTACCGCCTTTTAAATGAACACCAGATCCAGGCTTTTCTTCTAATTTTCAAAACAATAATAATTTTCGATAAATTTCAACAATATAAAACAAGTTTTAGAAATCAATTGTCGACTTGCTGATGCACAGGAAAAGGGGGGCGCGCGGCGTTGTATGAAAAAGAATTTTAGCTCAGGGAAGTACCGTTATAAATACTGTTTTAACTTAGTTTCGATTTCAAATTTCTTTTCAAATTTTAGGACAGTATTTATATGATACTAAGGAATGTTTTACGCAAAAAACAAAAATCAATTTTTTGAAAATTTATAAATAAAAGTCTCCTTAGATTCGTCTGGCTCTGGAGTTTTATTTATTTTTAGTTGCTTTACGACATCTATGAATTCTAGATAAGTAGGTTCGTATTGCTCCGCATCTCTATTATCTGTTATTTCTTCATTTTCTGCATGTGTCTTTTTGTTGTTTTGGTATAGATCTGTAAAATGTTTTTCCAATAATTTTTGTTTACTTTGTGTTTTACCAACAGTGTTTTGTGGTCCTTACTATTTATTTATCTAACTGTAATAGAAATGAACAGTGTCTCCATGTCATGAAATAAAATCATTATTATTTAGTAACTTAAAAGGACAAGGAAACTGAATTATGTTTTGAAGGAATAAAAATGAGTGTTAAAAAAATATATTTACTAAATCTAAACAGGACAAGTATATACATTGATACTTTTGTCTTCAGATACTGAGAGAATTTTATTACTATCTGGATTGTATGTCACGCCCCATACCTAAAAGACAATAATATTATTAAAGTAAACAATTTTGCTATAATAAAAATTATTGCAGAAATATTTCTATGATTTACTTTATTGTTAGCTTTAGTGGTAAAACAGATGCCCTTTCTATAGTTCTTAATTTAAGCTCTTGAGTCAATATAACCGGATCATAGGTAATCTTAGACAAGGAAAGAGAGAGGTCAGGTAACACTCACTTAATAAACCTTCGAAAAGTAAAGCCAGTTACTACCTCTCGCAAGGTTACCAGGGATACTAATTTTTCAGTAGATCTACTGATTTCAACTTCAATTTACTGAAGCACTATATCGAACTACTAAAAAATATGTAATGATAAAACCATGTTCAAAAAAATCTGTTAATTGATATAATATCCATAAAATATTGTCTTCTATTATACTGCACGGATTCGTAAGGTGTCTGATACGATAGGTTCCAGACAGTGTGAATTGTTCATATTTAAAACCATTTAAATTATATTTTTCAGAAACTAAACGCTACGTGCTGGAAACGCAACGTGCATGATAATATGCCACGACCTTTAATCTACTGAAGAAATAAAATATGACCTCGCAACCTTTCTGGTACCAGTTTGGCTTCAGTCGATTCCGTACGATCACGCGTCACATCTCTTTCCTTGTCTAAGTAGGTAATCATAGAAAAATTTAATTTAAAAATTGTTTTATTTTTGACATTTCTATCACCTATATTGAACATCGCACTTCGGAGAATTTGGTAAAAAAGTTTATGACATCCAGTTCAAACCCATCCAAAAATAAATCTAATGATTTAACAGAAACAATTTTATCTTTCCATTAACCTTCATAAACTCGAGTCAAAAGCGTACACTGAATAAAAGGGTAGGAGCTAATGCAAGTTCAAACTTTTATTTTATTTATTCACATGATTAACGTTCATTTATAAAGGTATAAAAAAGAATTTATTTACATAAAATTACAAAACAAAATCGAAAAATGTGTCAAAAATATTGATAATTTTATAAAATATGTTATCATTAAATCACAGATTTAATTATCACACTTTTATAACATAGTTTTATTGTTTTAATGCTATAAATATACAAATTGATTGCATCTTATAAAAGACTTTCGAGATTTTTTGTCCTTATTTTTGTTGTCCTTATTGTACATTTAGTTCTGACAGGATAGCTATTATGTGTTGTTTTATTCTTCTTCTAAAGGTGCCCCTCTTCTAGTGATGTTGGAGACCACATTTAACCATCTTATTCTATTTATAGCAACATGAAATAGATCACTTGACGTTATACCAGTCCATTTCCTAAGACTAGCCAGCCAGGATATACATCTACGTTCAGGCCTCTCTTGGCCTCAATCTTGCTTATAAAATCAACTGTAAAAGTCGGTATTCACTATTAACCTAACATAACTGGTTGCCAGATGTCTCGTCTCAATCATCACACAAGCTCGGCGCCGGCCACCCGTTTTCTTCGGTTTTCAGTCAGTCTTTCACTACCTTACGGAGTACGTAAGAAAAAGCCTGCTCCTACTCCCCTTGTTTCTATCAGGGACTATGTAAGTCGACCCGTTCCATTCGAAATATATATTCTCATTCATTAATTATTATTACTATTATTAATTATTATTATTTTCTTCTTTAGAAGTTGAGACACAATTTATAATGCAAATAAACTAGTTCAATTAGTTCAGTTGAAAGAATCGTTCATCTGAACTATTTCGATGGTGAACTACACATCCCTATGTAACTCCTCTGTGGTCCCAATTAACCATCTTAAAGGCATACTCTATTTCTTCTTGCAAAATAAAATTAAAGTTCATTACTTTCTTAGAATAATAAGTATGTATTACCTTTTCTATTTGTTTCAAATACAGGGAATACCAATACAGGGAATACCTGTCATTATATTTATATGAGGTATGTTTGTACCCCAGGTGGTTGTTGAAATAAGCAGATAATATACCTGAGCAGAGTGCAAATGTACCCCAAACAATACAGCTTACTATAATTTGTTAAAAATAATAGCAAATGATTACATATTTTGTATGATACATTAAGAATTTAAATTTGACAAATAGTTAAGAAGAAATAAATAATAAAAAAATATTTTGACATATATTTAGAGGAATTGATTACTGGGTTGCACCTGCACCCCTGTCTCGCCTGCACCTCTGTCGCACCTGCACTCCTGTCGAGTTTATGAAGGTTAATAACACATAAATTAGATGTTAAATGTAGTAAATATGCTAAGATGTTACATACCTATAAAATTAAAATGAAAAACATACCCATTAAAATTGTAAAAATTTAGCAAATCAGTTTTTATACTGTAAAACGTAAAAAAAATCCTAAGCAGACATGATAGACAAATATTTACATACATACAAACACAAATTATTAATTCCTATTTAAATTAAATAAAAATATAAAGCACTATGAATAGAGGAGCCTTTAATTTATGGATAGAAGTAATGCATTATGCATCAAAAAACATTAAATGTGTTAATGTGTATGATAAATATACAAAAAGCATCCACATTTATCCTTTATAGAATTTAAAAAAATATGTACACTATTTACCTGGTCTGTATGTTCATTAAATGTATGAAGACACTGTCTGGTAGCGACATCCCAAACTTTGACTGTTTTATCGGAACTACCAGAAACAAAGTTCTTGCCATCAGGAGAAAATGCGACACTAAGAACCCAGGAAGCATGGCCTGACAATGTTCCTATCAAACGGGTTTTTTGATCTCGTCTTGAATTTAAAAAAAAAATAAGAATACATAAAATAAAGCATAAAACACAACTTACACATCATAAAGTTTCATATATCCATCATCAGATCCTGTTAGCAGTAGTTGAGAGTCGGGAGAAAAGCAAAGAGAACGGATTGGCATAGCATGACCTTCTAAGGTGTGCAAAAGTTTGTTGGCTGCTACATCAAATATATTAATAATGCCTTCAATAGCTCCACTTGCTATGTATTTTCCATCTGGACTCTAAAAAGTGTATTTAAAATAATATAAAAATAATGAAAAACTTCTCAAAATAAAATATATCATACAGATCGAATATCTTTAAAAAATAATATGCCTTATTTAAAAATTTGTACCAGTTTTTAAAATAAATTGTTACACCCAAAAATTTATGAAAAATTTCACCAGATTCTTTTTTTTTATTCTGACTTTGACATCCTATGGCTTTACAGCCCAATTTGAACCTTGGCCTCTCTCCATTCTTTACCCATTAATTAAAGTCTATAGCCATTCTCCTCCATGACCAAGTACCAAGGTGATTTCTTGTGTCCAAATTTATATCTGATTCACCACCTGTTGTTCTCATTTATAGAGCCTAATATTCTTCCTAGTGCCCTTCTTTCAAAGATAGTAATACTGAAAAAGGGTTTTTACTAATACAGTACATAGTACTGTATGTCAAAATATAGACAGTAGACTCGCGATTATCCGAGTCTGACTAACTGAGCCTCTGGATTAACCTAGGTAGTAATTGAAAAGAATAAATTATGTAATAAATTAGCTTGGAGAGCGGGATCAAGTGAAAGCCTATGCCCTGGCTATTGGTATGCTGAAGATATGAGTCACTACCAAGCAAGTGTTGATGTTCTAGCCACTATGGCCTACTCTAGCCTACTGGTCGCCTCGCCATACATTCCCCCTTCCCTTCCGTCAGTTGAGTCATCAGAGATAGCTGTTCGGTTTGTCCCACTGTAAGCTCTTACATGTTCCTTGATGTTGTCTCTTTATATAGTTTCTATGTAACTTGCATAGTTTCTATATGAGTTTAAAACGTAAATGAGTTGTGGTTTCTCTAGAAACAAAATTAAATGATATAAAATGCTTAGATAAGGGTGAATCAGTAAAGAAGGTTACTAGGTTACTAGGTTCTAGGTGTTGAAGAAGTGACTGGGAAGGGTTAATGAAAGTGTGAGTGGTAGAAGTGATTTGTTATGGAAAACTAGGAAGAGAAGAGAATACAAACAGAGTTCTGAAGCCTTATTTTTATGGTTTTCTAATCTTCGAAGGTTGGGAAGTCCAATTAGTGGCACCATGCTGCAAGCTAAGGCTGTCGAGTTTTACAAATTGTTTAAGGATAGCGAGGAAAATTTTACTGCAAATGATGGTTAGCTCGACAGATGAAACAAGAGGTGTGCATCTGACAACTTAACATTTCGGGACAAATTGAGACTCATTTTAGAACATGGCCTCACGTCAGACCAATTCTTCAATTGTGACGAAACGGGTCTCAATTTCAGAATGTTTCCAACCAAAACACTGGCGGCCCAAAGTGAAAAAACTGCGTCTGATTATAAAAAAAAGCAACAAACGAGTAACTCTTTTAAGTGTAAGACCTCTACTTATTCTAAAATCAAAGAATCCAAGTGCTTTTAAAAATATAAAAAAGTAAAAGGCCTATCCACCATGTACAGGAATCAACATAGTGTGTGGATAGATTGCCAAATGTTTAAAGATTGGTTTTTTGATGAGTTTTACGACAACAACTTTGCAAAAGTAATGGCAAAACCTTTTTTAAATTGAAGTGAAAAGTGATGAAAAAAATAGCAATAACTGTATTGCTAAAATAGTAGACCTCGCTAATCAGTTATGACTGACATGGTTATCAACCCACACAATATTACTGAGGATGACACAGATGAGATAATCGAGAAAATATCTCACTTTGAAGGATTGTAGATGATTGGAGCTACCCTAGCCTACATTAAGCAACAGGAAGAGTCAACTTATACCGATGTCCTTCATCTTCAACGTTGGCGCAACAGCGCAGTGTCACAACGAGGCCAGAAGTTGACGCAGAAATCTATCAAAGTACATAAATGTTTTCCTATCTATATATTTTAACTATGTACTCTATATACAGGTTTACATATTTCAATTGTACATAATTAACTAATTATATATGTCACAACTTTTGAATTTTTTGTTTATTTTAAGCAAACACTTGATCTCCGCTTTATCTGAGTATTTTGTTATCCGAGGTATGCGCAGTCACAATTAGCACAGATAATCGCAAGTCTACTGTACTACATAAAAACTAATAAAAATGGAATATATACTAAATTAAACCTTACAGTTGTAACTTTCAGATAATAAACAAAATATGTACTTACATAAGCTATGCTTAAAGTAAATTTTCCTCGAGTTTCAAAAGTTTGTTCAGCTTTAGCTGTTTCAACACTATATGCTGTAATTTTTCTAGATCCAGAAATAATGTATTTATCATCTGGACTAAAAGCTACAGTCCAAAGATCTACAGGGCCAACATCAACATTAGCAATCTTTTCACCCTTCTCTAAATCCCATATCCTCATACTTGAATCTAGAGAGCTTGATGCACATACTGAAAACACAATTTACACAGAATTAATACAGAAAATCAAACCATCATAAGAAACATATATTCTTAGAGCTTATTATTAATTGCTACTTATAAAAAAATATTAATAATACTGCTAAAATTTAATTTTCAATATGATCTAGACACCTGTTTCTTTGAAACCACTCAGTTTTCCTTATATTTTTATAAAAAAAAATTGTAAAATCAATTATGATGTAGAGGTAATGGATTTTAACAAGAGCTAATGAGTCATGCCGATTCAGTACACAAGTTTACCTGTTATTTACAAGGTCATAGCTCTTGTCAAAATCCATTACTTATACAACTTTTTGGTCCCTAAAGTTGTTCCTTTGTAAGGTATAGTGCACACCACTCTGTTCCATTGAAAAATGTAGCAAAAAACTATAACACCAGTGTAGATAAATTTTCACATGCTTCTGAGAGGGTGGCTACCTCATAAATGTCTATGTACTACCTACACTTGTTAAGGTCGATTCAGACACATCAGCCCCGTCACAGTCTTGGTGCTGAACTGGTCCTGTTTGGTCACAGAACTATTAACTATCTGACAGCCGGGAAACTGTTCGTCGCCTGATGAATGTAAATGCCGGCGCCATCTTTCTATTAAAGAATATTTTGTATGACAGATTGTTTGGTTGGGCACCAGGACTGTGACAAGATGTTACTGATGTGAATCGACCTTAATACTTGTCATGCACAGTATCTTCCAACTGAGTTTGACAGCAGTTTAGCTGTCAAATATGTTCAATATAGTTAAATAGTTCAAATATGTACAAATATGTCAAAGGACTGCTTTGTATCAGTTTTCTCTGTCATACATGGGAACAGGCCCATATTACAATAGTCAGTCTATTTGTATTATATCTATGTAGTAAAATAAACTGACTTAAACTACAATTCTAAGGTTAACTAAACTAAAATGTTCCTTTGTTTTGTGATAGAGCCATGATTTTTCTTTGACATTGGCCAATGTAGCCTACACTCAACAACACTCAAATGTGCTACAGTAGGAACAGACCTACTATATGTGCATTAACATTCGATAAAAAACTAATGAATTTTCTTGTGCTACAAAACTTTATTTTTCCTTATAAATACTTACATTTGCCATTATGACTGACAGCTACTGACACAACACCAAGAGAATGGCCTTCTAGATTATGCTTAAGAACTAGACGATCGTCCTGCAATTCCCAAACTTTAACTAAATCATCTACTCCACCAGTAACAATATAGTCAGTCGGAGGCTCATCAGATAGGATTGAATCTCTAAAATATGTAATAGAAATAGTATTGAAATGACGATATTTAGAACACAACAGTAGTACCTGGACTTTTCGTCGTCTCCTTGATTGTCGTCCTCGGATTTTTTCTTTTTTTCCGGAGCATATCTTCCCCAGAAACAACTCCAAATGCATTCGTCATGAGCATTATCCTTTTTGTGTAAAACCGAATACTGAAAATAGCAGTAACTTAAAATAAACACTATTCAAAGTAAGTAGACACTCACCATACTTATGTATTATTTTAAACCTTGGTGACTAAATTAAATTAAGTTTTTCTTATAATAAATCGGCATTCCCAAAGTAAATAATGAGGTTAAGTTGTGTTGTTAAGTTTATGGAAGTCAGTCAGAAGTCAGTCAACACTCATTATCAGAATCAGAATATCAAATACCGCCATCTGCTGTTACACCTCAAAACATCTGCGATTTAAAAATAATTTTTATTGATATTTAATTTGATTCTCGAAGCAGATACTTTTTTAAAATAGTTTAACATTCATAATTAAAATGTAATGTAATGTAAAATGTAAAGTTCTACTGATTCGGATAGGAAATTATAAATATAAGAACAGAAACAGGCAACTGAAAGACTACACAATATGTCAATGTCAAGTCAATTGACAAATGAAATTGACAGTGGAAATGGAAAACAAATGCCAGGTTTAGTATTTGTGTTTGTGTTTTATAATTTTGAAAACTTATTTGTTAGAATTTGTACAAAATGTCAGCTCTATTTAAAAATGCCAAGAAAAAAGTGAACCAGTCAGAATTACGAAAACTAATGAATGATCATAAAATTAAAGCCAAGGATGTGAAAAGGATTGATTCTCCATTAGCTAAATATCCTTTTGTTGAATTTATAAATAATTTTATATTACTTATTTATTTTGTTCTCGTATTTCTTTTTAGATAATTTAGATTATATGTAGCTTTAGATAGATATATAACATTGAGCTTCTATATATTTTCCGTGTGTGTTTTCCTTAATACTTTGTACATATAATGAACAGGGTCAGCTCACATGTGTGCTATGTAAGTGGGTAGTGCGTTCAGAATCTGTGTGGTCATTACACATAAACTCAAAAAAGCACAAAGAAAATATAGAAGTAGCAAAGAAATTGAAGGAGCGGACAAATAATTTTACCCAGCCCTTGAAAAGACCATTGACTCCTCCTTTACCTGAAGTTCCAGAGAAAAAAATTAAAGGTATTTTAAAAAATGCTCCAGCTAGTAAAAGGACTGAAACTAATATAGATAATGGTCTTAGAGAAAAGAATAATGCACTGCCAGATGATTTTTTTGATTCAAAATCCAAAAGTCAGTCTACATCCAAAACAGTTAGTACTGAAAAAGAACAAGAGGTAGATAAGATGGAAGTAGATCAAGTTTCTGATGGAAAAGATGAACTTCCTGAAGGATTTTTTGATGATCCTAAATTAGATGCTAAGGTATTTTTTTACATTTAAGTGTATTATACTTAAGCAAAATTGTGCTTTCTATTAATCTTAAATAATTAAAAAAAGCCACATTTACTATAAATAGTTCTTAACAGAAATAATACCATTAAATTTCAGAAAAAGCAGTAGCAGATTTGTAATTTTTATTTAAGGTAAATGTGGGAGTAATTGACACTTATAAATTACACCACTTGAAATACATATAATTACTGAAATACTGTGTGAAACAAGCCATTACTGCACCTTCAGTTTTTGGTCCTGTAGAAGTTTTAAGTATGTGATTTTCATGTATATTTTGTACTGTTGGAATCCGATGAAGTCTCCTGGTTACATTTTGCCACATAAGGAATAGAGATTTGTCTTGTTCTTTCCATTCCAATCTTCATGACAATTTTTAAATGCCAGCAATTTTTCCTCACCTACTTCCTTTTCCAGGAAAGTAAGACCATCTTCATCATTTAATGTTTTAGTTATTGACTATATTGAAGGATCTTCTAAGTCATTTTGATTTTCATGACAATTGTCTTTCACTTTTGAGTAGTCTATAGCATTCTTATCCCAAAACATTAAACCACTTTTTCTGAAGACATTTTTCATAATTTGTTTCTCAAAATTTTTAAGAGTTTTATATACCAGAGGTGCAAAATCAGCTTTTCTTAAATTAGGTGATTGAATATTATCTACATACTGGTGAACTATTGCTTTCCACCTTGTTTTCATAAGCCTAAAAAATCCTATGTTAAGTGACTGGAGAATATGAGTTGAATTGGGGTGTAATGCTATGAGTATTATTCCATTTTTACTGCAAAATTAACTGACATGCAGTGTTAAATGACTAGTATGATTATCAATAAATAATACAACAGGTGTCTGTATGTTTTGTGTTTGTAGCCAAGGATGAAAGATATTTGCTATGTATTTGAAGAATAGCTCTCTGTTGCTAAACACTTTTTTCACCTTTACTAACCAGTACCTTTTCGTGTTTGGGTTCAGAAATAATGCAATCTCATCTACATGTAGTAGTTGTAGTATCTGAAGTTGATCTTTGTTTATTCTATCATCCATGATCTTATAAACAATTTGTTACTTCATTAAACCAATTTATTAGGCTGTACTTAGTTACTAAGGCTCCAGAAGCTATTAAATTTTGTGCTACTTGTTCTTTTAAACATGGATGTTTTCTCAAAAAACTTTCATAGCATGCACAGCCAAGGTGGTCATCAACAAATGGAGTTTCTCTTTTCATTTGTTTTATTATAATTTGTACACTATCCAGCAGCTGTCTTTTTGTTACCGAAAATTTTGTTTCTGCTGAGTCTAATATCCAAAGCAAGTTTTCTTCATCAGATGTCAGAATAGTCTTTGACCCCATTCTTCTAGAAATGAAGTTTTTCCTTTTGCCTTGTACACAATAGTTATTGTGGGAACCTGATATCTTTTTGCTGCAGAGGCTATTGGCATCCCAAGGTGAAACATCCTCTATTGAAGCTGTCATATCTTCTTCAGGACAATCTAACATTTTCCCTTTTACAGGAGGCATTTTTGCCTACAAAAAAATAAAAACAGAACTAATGATGTCAACTATACCCACATTTAACTTACTGTTCCTACTTCTAGTATTATGTCAATGTCTTTATTTGTCTTTTGCACATTTTTGCTCATATCTGCAGATTTGTTTATACAGTACAGCCTTCCAATTATTGTGACCACCGTTGGGGAACCAAAAGCTGGTCACTAAATACGATTGATGGTTTAAGACTGAACATAGGAAAGTTAAAGCAACTGATCTGCATTTTATGTTGTTTATTTACATATTAAATATAATTTTAAATAATTTCAATTTCAATTCATCAGAAACATAAATGAACACAATGACATCAATTTAAGAATAGGTTGGATTCATTTTTATTTTTTTAAATAATCAGAAATTAATGGTTGCTTTTTGTTTTCTGTTTAAAAATCAAACTGTCATTCTCAAACCACATCAATCCAGTAACAAACAGGCATTGAAAGTACTGGTTCACATTTAGTAAAGTTTATTGTGATCTCGTTTAGCCTTTATAGAGTATGGATCAGTAAGGTCCCCATCATAAAACAGTTACATTGAACAGATTGAAAGGGTCCAAAATAAATTTTTTAGGATTACAACTTTTAGCAGTGGATATCTGAGAGGAATATGGGGATCAGTGGATAAGATTGATTTATTAACACTTGAGTCAAGCAGGACATTTGCTAGTTTTATGTTTTCTGCATAAAGTCATTAATGCTGTTATATATTATTATTATCAATTGTTATCACTTGTTAGTCTTAAAGTACCTAGTAGAAACAACAAACAATAGAAAATATTTTCAGTGCTATTTATGGTATCAATGAACTTACTACACAATTGGTCCTGAGTGCCAATTGCCTGCCAAGACAAATAAATATTTTTGACTCCAAAATTAGTGTATTCAGATAACAACTAAAAGTTATCTTATAATAAGTGACCCTTTTACATGCAAATCTTTATCTATCCTTAAGCTACATTAGCTTTGTAGCCCCATTAAAGTTTGTTATAGTTCATTATTCTAGGTTTGATATTTTAAAAATTTATTGTTGTTTAGGTGTAGCATTTTTAAAACTCTTTAAATGAATTCCGTTAATACATAAATAAAAATATATGTATGAGAATATATAAATCTAATATACTTAATAAACCTTTATGTGTATATTATTTTTAGGCAAGAAATCTAGAATACAAAGATCCTGTAGAGGAGGAATGGGAAAAGTTTTTAAAGGTTATTAAAGAAGCAGACAATGAAAGTAATGCAATTATCGCAGAAGATCAAGAAGAGGCTACAGCTGATCGTCAGATAGACGAAATTGATGAGCAAATGAAAAAATTATCTAGGTATCTATGTATAATTATGTTACTGTTGAATTCTTCATTTATATTTTTCCGTCTTTTTGATATTATTAAGTTTTCAGACAATTGTATACACTCCTTTTGTATAGTATATAGTTTACATGTTAAATTTACAATCTACTTCAGAAAATAACTATAAGTAAACTTTTTTAAGAACATGATGAAATACCTGACTAAAACGCACAAGAACAATAGTGAGCAAACTAGAAGTTGTGGAAATAGCAAAGGAGAGAATAATTTTATTGTTAAGTGATTTTCTATGCGATAGAATACTTATCTAATGCTATTATATGCAAAATATGAGGAGTAGTAGATGTTACTGAAATAATCAATATTAAAATGGAACTGGGCAAGTCATATCGCAAGAGCAGTTAACTATTGGTGGATGAAACGAGTTTTAGAATGGAGACTGTGAATACAAGCTAACAGAAACAGAAACAATTGCCATATAAATGGAGTCAAGCTCAATAACTCGCGGTATGCAGATAATACAATAGTGTTTCCCAATACCATAGAAGGGCTGCAAAACTTAATGAACAACATAACAGAAACAAGTAGAAAATATGGACTGGATAGAAACACCAGCAAAACCAAGCTAATAATCTTCAGCAAGGAAAACATAACTAGGGCCAAATCTGTAGGTGAACCAAATGAGAATTGAACGTGTCTCACAATACAACTAATTGGGAACTATAAACAAGGAGTCGTTTGACAATACCCAAGAGATTAAATGTCGAATTGGAAAGGCAAAAAAAGCATTCTTGACTATGAGCTCTACATTCAAGAACCATGACTTCACCCTAGAAACAAAAATATGCCTCCTTAAATATTATCTCTACTGGAAACTCTATCAAAACTTCAGACTTTTGAGCTATGAAACGAATAAAATGTGTGAATTGACAAAGTTCAGAAGAACTGAAAGAGAAGTGATGGAAAAAAAATACTAAAATAGGGCTAAGCTCAGAGGAACAAATTTAAATGGCCAAAGAGACACTAAATCTCAAGTGAGTGTTCGGGCTAGCTTCAATGCACTGGATTGTGGCTTTAAAGATTTAAACAGATAGCAAGGATACTGAGCTAATGAGACAAGAAACGAAATGAGACCTGGTAATATCAAACGTGATACAACTAAAGAAGGTCACTGGGAATAAATTTATAGAAAGAGAACAATAAGAAGAGAAAAGAAGGGCGCCAACTCAACGATAGTTGAGATTTTGAAGTAACAAATGAATCTGGAGGTAATACTCTGAAATACAAAAATACTAAATATTAATCTTGTTTTGCTATGTTATATACTGGTTAGTAGAACTGAAATAAAACTCAAAATAGCAACAATAAATATATTTATAAACAAATGTATATAGGTATATGTGTATAAACAATTTACATATAATGCAAAGCCAAATAACAGTGGTAGTGGATGGTGTACAGATACAATAGGACCTAATAGCCCCTCAACAAATGAATAGTCACTACCACTGGCCAAATAAGATATGAAATATTAGTATACAACAAGAATAGTCCGTAGGGTAGCCAAAGTCTTAAAACAAAAAGGTAGTCATTTAAATTTAAATTAGTTCTACTAAAATGAGGTACTAAAGACAATATTGTAAAGATATCTAACTTGATAAATCTCTATTACAATTATATTAAATATATATATTACATCCAAAAAATGAGTTGTTCCATACTCATTATATAATATTTAAAAACAAACCACATTAAATTTATGTCCCTCTTAATATCAAATTGTATTCTATTAACAAAAATATTATATCCAAAAAAAAGTGAGTTTGGTCAGACTCTCTAAATCCTAGTTAAAACCTAATAACACATGAAGTGTCCCTTTTTCCTCCCGAATATTTTATAATTAAATTATCAAAAAAAAATTATCATAAAGGTATTCACCTTATCATATGCATATGATCAGTTAACAGTAAATATAAAGTAATACGTAATACAAAAGGTCAAATAGTTAAACGACTTATCTTTACAGCACTATAAGTCCATAGGAAAAACTCCTCTTGGCACGGCTACATCAGTTTGTGGCTGTAAAGACGAATCCTGGTCACAAAAGCCACAACCAGTCACTGGTCTCTGGGTGACATCAAAATCCACGGGTTTGTTAACTATTTAAGGATTCAAAGTCTAGTATCCTTGAGGGAATATTCTCAAGAGAATATCCTCAAGTAACGTGAAATTAATATTTTCACGTGACGGAATCTAAAATTATTATTTAATTTAATAAATACAATTCAATAGGTGTAGCAACATGGATTGACTGCACCAAAACAAAACATCAAAACATTTGGTATTAGGTTAAGTCAACATCATGTCAAATTTATGAAGTTACTTTCGTAGGCTTGGCAAGCTTGCGCCATGAAAAGAACATGCGCAGAATATAGAAGGCTGTCCACATTTGTCGAACCTTTTTATATTCCACCAAAAAAGTTAAGATACAAAATGGGAACCAAAAAAAACTTAATGATAACGACGTGGAATAAAACAGAATTTAAGTTTAACTATATAAAAAAAATGACCTTCTGTTCTTTGCAAGTAAATCAAGGAAATTTTATATTTAAATTATTTCGGAACTCAAAAATAAATCTCTAAAGAAATACTAAATACAATGATAAATTTGATTATATGATAAAGAGATAATACGTATAAAATGATTTACTTACATGGAACTCGCAGCACGCCAACAAAAAAACTCTTCCTTTTTATGTGGAACTCATAAATGAATATTGATTTTATTATTTTACTTATTATTATTAAGATATGTATTTTATTTATAAATTAATTTATTCTTCCTTGCTCCAATTCCGTCACTTTTAAGGTGAAAAATTTCACCGGTTGGCGTGGCTGCGTTGACGAGTTCAGACCAAAACTAACCGCTTCGCTTCCGCACAAAATCGATCTTCCTTTCAAAACGATAACAGCGCGTGTGGGGGAAAATGTCGATTCAAAATCGATCGTAGGCGGGTAATAAAAATTTCTAAAGGGGTTAATCAATAGCGTAAACGCTACATTCTCCCTCATCTCCAGCAAAAAAAAAAAAGGAACTTTAGGAACTTTTTTTTTTTTTTTGTGGCAGAACGATCTAACACTGACAATGAACGTTGATACGTTAAAATTGAACATTTTCGTCACCAGTCAACCATTTGCTCAGGAATTGGAACAAAATCAAGGACGAAATAAAAATATGGAACGAAGAATATAAGACAAAGTCATACATTTTTTTTAATGCGATAATGTATGTTAATTTAGTATAAACCAAAGATAAAAAAAAAAAAAATAATAATAAAAAGGTATACATTTTAAGTTTAATTCTATAACCTTACAGATCAAGTTAACTTTTAACACTACTTATCTACATTCTCAAGTATTAGTAAAAACAACCATCGTTAAAACTACATTATATATGTGTATTAACAACCCCTAACACAATATCTCCAAGAACCATTCATAACAACGAAATTCAAACAAAGTCCTATGAACTTTACCCAACGTTGATACTAGAGCGACCAGATTCTATTCGTCACCATAGAGTTCAATGAGGGCCTGATTATTCAGGACTAGTTGAAACTACAAACCTAAACAGATATATATGGTTCGGGATATCAACAACATATTGAAAATCCAAGGTAAAAGCTAATTCAATACACCTACTTGATTTAGCAGCGGTAGGAAAACACACAATCGGTAAAGGCACAAGTAAGCCTAGATACTAGCAAGCCCACTATACTCATGGTATAGGGTATGCTAAAAAAAGGTAAGTAAGATAACTGCAATCCCAACTCATAGTAAAGGATATGCACAAAAGGTAACAGATAATTGCAAGTCCAGATCTACTCATGGTAGAGGATATGCACAACACTCACTTCTACTAGCTATACACTTGGTAGAAGGAAAGATAAAAGAGATCCTAACTGTAATACCTAAACTGTACTATTGACGTGTTCCAATTCTTTACTCACGACAAGAACAGTAAAGGACAGATTTTTAGGACTCTATAATCAAGATAAAGATAAGATATATATTCATAAGATATAGATAAGAAGTAAACTTATCCAGGTAAAGGTAAAGATAACTAACTTAAGGTAAAGGTATGAGATAAACCAATTAAGGTAAAGGTACAAGATAAACTCAATTAAGGTAAAGATAAAGATACACTCAAGGTAAAGGTATGAGATAAACTCAGGCAAGGTAAAAGATAAACTTAAGGTAAAGATACGAAATAAACTCCATTACAGGTATGAGATAAACTCCCTAAAGGTAAAGATAAACTCAATTAAGATACAGATAAAGATAACTCACATCTATCAATCCATGTCACTAGTAGAGAGACAGGTAAACAAACAGTATACAATAAGATATGTTAAAACTCAAATACTTTCAACGATAATAGCATAGGAGATGACCTCCAAGTTAAACAGACTTACTTACTGCTGAATATCAGAACGATCCAATTCTAAATGACACATTCTGATTTCAACCTAAGAGACACTCAAGGAACAACTAATATTTATTGACATATTTCTGAGCCAAGTGAGGGCACACATCCAGGGTGATCAATCCTGAACCCACGCTAAAACACCGACACAGTAAGTGAATGTGAATGCATAAGCTTTATGGTCATGATCCACAAAACTATACAACACTAATAAAGAAAATATTTGGAATGTTTTCCGAATTATCCCTGTAAATATCTATTCAACTCAGAACTCAAGATGGGGAAATTCCCATATATCCATCCTGTACTCCTATGATATGCAGTTGGACTTTTGAGAGAAAACAAACAACAAAATTAGCAAGTCCATAAACCAAGATAATAACCAACATTAAGATAACATAAAAAAAAAATAGAAGGCAAAATAGCACATCTTATGGGTTTTTGCCAGGTAAACAAAATAGATAATCAGATCTTAAACAACCAAACTGGAACAGAAGTGATAAGGGATTAATGAGATCTAATGATTAAGTTGAAATGGAAAATCAATCCGTCGATAACTATCCATTTAGCCTGGTTGGGAAGATTTGTCGGTTTGCATGTAGCACAGATTTTGCATTTAGCGATATAGCTACATACAGTTTGATGCATCTTCGGCCAGTAATAAAGTTCAGATATTCGACGGAAAGTTTTGTAGAAACCAAAATGAGCTGCAGTAGGATGGTCATGAAAAGTGGCCAAAACCTCTGCTCTATTAGGAGTTGGAACGACTATCTTCCAATCCGACATTCCAGTAATGGAATCTATGGAACTTAAGACATGTTTATACAAAACACCATGTTCAACTTTAAAATCAGGAAATTTACCTGGTACATTCTGTACAACATTTTTTTAACAATGGACTGGTTAGATGACGGACTCTCAACTCATACTCTAATTCAGGAGCTAACAGATGCTCTACCTTGAAAGCAGACATATTACACAACTGAGAAATATACGAGAGAATGAGTAAAAGTAGGTAAAGTTTAACTTACTCTCTGTCCTCAAATTAATATTCTGAAGTGATACCAATACCAGTAATGTTTAATTGTTTTGGTCCAGTTATGAAATCCAATGACATATACTGCTACAACACCCTAAGGAACCTAAAATTTCAAAACTGTTATTTCGAGGTAGTGACTCAACTTATTGGCTACTCTGGACTTGTAAAATATGTGAAATAGTTAACTTTAGTTATTTAAATTTTTAATTAATTTATTATTAATCTAAATTGTTATTTAATCAATCAAAAACAAAGCAATTTATTCAGTCTACACAGTATATAGCAAAAACAAGTCAATTTAAGATATAGATATAAGGTAATGTCCAAAAAAAATTGAAAAACAAAACTAAACGTTAAAATGAAAATTTAAAAGCACAACCAGTGAAAACCACAACAACCCAAGATCAAAACCAAAAATTAAAGGAGATATATATATTTTTTTTTAAGGCAGAAGTGGAAAAGAAGCCACACGTTGGGTCTAGCCAATTGAAACGAATGAAGTATGTGAATTGACAAAGTTCAGAAGAACTGAAAGAGAAGTGATGGAAAAAAAATACTAAAATAGGGCTAAGCTCAGAGGAACAAATTTAAATGGCCAAAGAGACACTAAATCTCAAGTGAGTGTTCGGGCTAGCTTCAATGCACTGGATTGTGGCTTTAAAGATTTAAACAGATAGCAAGGATACTGAGCTAATGAGACAAGAAACGAAATGAGACCTGGTAATATCAAACGTGATACAACTAAAGAAGGTCACTGGGAATAAATTTATAGAAAGAGAACAATAAGAAGAGAAAAGAAGGGCGCCAACTCAACGATAGTTGAGATTTTGAAGTAACAAATGAATCTGGAGGTAATACTCTGAAATACAAAAATACTAAATATTAATCTTGTTTTGCTATGTTATATACTGGTTAGTAGAACTGAAATAAAACTCAAAATAGCAACAATAAATATATTTATAAACAAATGTATATAGGTATATGTGTATAAACAATTTACATATAATGCAAAGCCAAATAACAGTGGTAGTGGATGGTGTACAGATACAATAGGACCTAATAGCCCCTCAACAAATGAATAGTCACTACCACTGGCCAAATAAGATATGAAATATTAGTATACAACAAGAATAGTCCGTAGGGTAGCCAAAGTCTTAAAACAAAAAGGTAGTCATTTAAATTTAAATTAGTTCTACTAAAATGAGGTACTAAAGACAATATTGTAAAGATATCTAACTTGATAAATCTCTATTACAATTATATTAAATATATATATTACATCCAAAAAATGAGTTGTTCCATACTCATTATATAATATTTAAAAACAAACCACATTAAATTTATGTCCCTCTTAATATCAAATTGTATTCTATTAACAAAAATATTATATCCAAAAAAAAGTGAGTTTGGTCAGACTCTCTAAATCCTAGTTAAAACCTAATAACACATGAAGTGTCCCTTTTTCCTCCCGAATATTTTATAATTAAATTATCAAAAAAAAATTATCATAAAGGTATTCACCTTATCATATGCATATGATCAGTTAACAGTAAATATAAAGTAATACGTAATACAAAAGGTCAAATAGTTAAACGACTTATCTTTACAGCACTATAAGTCCATAGGAAAAACTCCTCTTGGCACGGCTACATCAGTTTGTGGCTGTAAAGACGAATCCTGGTCACAAAAGCCACAACCAGTCACTGGTCTCTGGGTGACAGCAAAATCCACGGGTTTGTTAACTATTTAAGGATTCAAAGTCTAGTATCCTTGAGGGAATATTCTCAAGAGAATATCCTCAAGTAACGTGAAATTAATATTTTCACGTGACGGAATCTAAAATTATTATTTAATTTAATAAATACAATTCAATAGGTGTAGCAACATGGATTGACTGCACCAAAACAAAACATCAAAACATTTGGTATTAGGTTAAGTCAACATCATGTCAAATTTATGAAGTTACTTTCGTAGGCATGGCAAGCTTGCGCCATGAAAAGAACATGCGCAGAATATAGAAGGCTGTCCACATTTGTCGAACCTTTTTATATTCCACCAAAAAAGTTAAGATACAAAATGGGAACCAAAAAAAAACTTAATGATAACGACGTGGAATAAAACAGAATTTAAGTTTAACTATATAAAAAAAATGACCTTCTGTTCTTTGCAAGTAAATCAAGGAAATTTTATATTTAAATTATTTCGGAACTCAAAAATAAATCTCTAAAGAAATACTAAATACAATGATAAATTTGATTATATGATAAAGAGATAATACGTATAAAATGATTTACTTACATGGAACTCGCAGCACGCCAACAAAAAAACTCTTCCTTTTTATGTGGAACTCATAAATGAATATTGATTTTATTATTTTACTTATTATTATTAAGATATGTATTTTATTTATAAATTAATTTATTCTTCCTTGCTCCAATTCCGTCACTTTTAAGGTGAAAAATTTCACCGGTTGGCGTGGCTGCGTTGACGAGTTCAGACCAAAACTAACCGCTTCGCTTCCGCACAAAATCGATCTTCCTTTCAAAACGATAACAGCGCGTGTGGGGGAAAATGTCGATTCAAAATCGATCGTAGGCGGGTAATAAAAATTTCTAAAGGGGTTAATCAATAGCGTAAACGCTACAGGAAGGATGCTGAAGATACCATGTACAGACAAAGTCACCAATGAAGAAGTACTGTGAAGGATGAACACAACTACGGATTTGGTTAACATCGTGAAGGGCTGTAAGGTGCAGTACTTGGGACGTATAATGAGAAATCAAAGCAAGATACGAGCTAATTCAATGCATTTTAAATCATAGTAAAAATAACAAAGGTGTTTGATTTCATTAAATTTAAATATTAACTTTGTTTGGATTCACAAAGAGAGTATCTGCACCAATTGGTTCATTCCATCAGTTGTAAATTTATTTTTATTTTAATATTTTTATATCAGTAGAGCAGAAAAGAAATTAACACGTACAACAGATTTTATATTTAGTTTTAAATACATAATTTTTAAAAGTTCATTTCAAGTATGTAGTAATTTTACTGTAATGGATATTTTATTTTAGGATTCTTGACCTGGAAAAGAAAAAAGAGGAAGTGGTGGCACAAACCAATGAATCTAGAAACCAGAATTCAAGTATTGACAATAATGAAGATGTTGATGATGATTTTGATGAGTTTTTGGATTGGAGGGAAAAGAAATCCTTCAATTAGTTAAGATTTATATTCAGTACATTCTTGTATAATATGTACAGTTAACACATTTAAATGTATTTTCATTATTGTGTTTTATTTATAAGTACCTACCTACAGTCCCTGATCAAATTTTTATGACCGCATATGATTTTTTTTTACAAAAATCCACTGTTCAACTAATTTTTGTTTAAAAATTTATTTTTAAATTTAATTTTATGTAAAATACATTAATTATAATATGTTTAATAAAAAAAAGCAATAAAACATAATTAATTATATTTTTATGTTTTTTACTACTTTGTTGCTCCTCCTTTAGCTTTGATTACTGCTTTTACACTTACACTTCTTGGGATACTTTGAACGCAGTTAAAAATCATCATCATAATTCTGGGTTTACAACCCTACGTGGGTCCTAGCCTTCTCAAGAATTTCTCTGCAGTCGTCCCTATGCATCTCCTTTCTCCGCCAAGCAGGAATTCCCATATTTCTCATGTCTTCATCGATTTTATCAAGAACCTTCTTCTCTGATCAATAGGTCTAACAAGGAGCGTTTTTCTAGCTGGGTTATTTTAGTCCATCCGCAATATATGTCCTATCCACCTCAGATATCCTATCTTAATATGTTTTACGATATCAGGTTCTTGGCATATTCTATAAAGTTCGAAGTGGTATCGTCTTCTGCACATTCCATTATCATTCACCGCTCCATTAATTCGCCTTAGTTGTTCTCGGTTTTATAATCTGCTATATTGGTATCATGGCAACCTTCTTTATATAGTTCAGCTGGGATATTATCTATTCCAGGTGATTTGTTTCTGGCTAGTTTTTTAACTTCAAGAATCGTGGGTGGTTCCTCTTTCCTCTCGTTTTAGAAGACGAGAAAAAGAAGAAGAAAGTTAGCTTGGGCAGCATTCGGTAAACTGAACTATATACTCAGAAATCAACAAATTCAATTACATATTAGATCTAAAGTTTTTGATGCATGCATTATTCCGATATTAACTTATGCGGCACAAACATGGACAATCACAAAAAAGAATATGAATATACTTTGAGGGAGCCTTGCACTGGCTACCTACATCATGAGAGTTGGAAATCTTTTGTTTCCAATCCTTACTTCAAAGGACTTGTGAATGGATGCATCTCCATAGGTTTGGTTCTTCAGTGACCGTTGAAGGATAAGGATTCTTAATGTGAGCAAATATAGCTCCAGAGAAATAAAATCACTTTTGAGTTTATCGATTTATAATTAAATCTAAGAGTAGAGAGGCCCAACACGGCCGTAACTTACTATACAATATCAAATGTACTCTTTCTTTATAACACGTAAAATAAACATGAGAAAATGCCCGATTTCGGCGGAGAGAAAATATTGCGAGTCTTTAACTACCCGCTGCGGCGATGCCTCGACGACCATATGCTAACTTGAACTGATAAAACACTACATAATGCGTAAAATATGGAGATTACGCCTATTTTATTTAGGTGTGAAAAATATTTAACAGGGTCAGACGTCAAACGCCAGGGTGTCGCGTTCAAACTTGATAAAGTGTGTTCTAGTTATTATACTAAGAAAAGTCAAAGAATTATATTTTTATTTTATATTTTAAAACAATATGTTCATTTCTGGAACATACTTAGAGTCACTAAACACGCGATGGAAAGAGCAATGCTAGGGATATCACTTAAGGACAAGAAAACAAACACATGGATAAGACAGAAAACCAAAGTCACCGATGTGGTGCAAAATCATTAAAGTTGAAATGGGAATACGCTGGACATGTAGCTAGGAGCGATCTAAACAAATGGCATAGATCAAGTTTAACCTGGAGACCATACCAACACAAAAGACCCAGAGGCAGACCTCTTATGAGATGGACAGATGATCTGAAAAGGACTGCTGCGAAAAATTGGGTACACGTAGCGTACAATAAAAAACAATGGAAAGGAAGACTTGAAGAGGCTTATGTTCAGATGTGGACGTGAATGGCTAGACGAAGAAGAAGAATTTATCTTTCGCTTCTGCTTCAATGTCTTCCTTTATTCTGGTCCAGTAGGAGTCATATCTGTCTGGCCTTCTTCATTTACATTTTGATTCCTTAGCCTGTTGATGTTTTTCGAATATCGTTCTGCAATTGTCGCATCTCTCAGCTTTGACACAATCCATTTTTTGTATCCATTTCAGGATGTTGCAGTTCAAGATCCATTGCTTCAAATTGTAGTTGCAGTTCCAACGATATATCTCTGGGAAATTTCTCTTTTTAGAAGCTCCCAAACATTTTCTATGGGAATAAGATCAGGATAATTTTCCGGTCAGTCTAAAAAAGAGTACCATGCTCAAACAAAGAGTTTCTCACTGATTTAACAGCTTGACATGGTGTTCTACCTTGCATATATCGATGCGTTTATCATTAGGAAACCATTCATGTAGTTGATGTATCAGTCTGTTCTTTAATATTGGTATGTATTCTTATTGATCTTGTCGCATTATTTCCTTAATTTGAAGTCTACCAAGTCCCTTACCACTAATCGTAGACCACACCATGATTTTAGTTGGATGTTTTATAGTTTTAACAACACATTCCGGCTAACGACTTTTCTTTAGGACTTAATTGAATATATTGAGCTTTATAAGTTAGTATTTTAAAGTTACTGAAGCAAATCTGTTAAAAAAAAACTACGAAAATAATTTTGTTTTAACACTTTGGCTGCCTACTATATTTTCTAAATTAATAACTCCGAGAGCCAACCATTCCTTTTTTAACGCTATGCGCATATGAGCTACCATATAACAAATGCGTTGGTCTAAACCTCTGGCAGAGCGTGAATTGCAAAACATTGCAATAAGTTTTGGAGAGCTTTCCAATGACGATGATGAACCCTTCAAAGCTTCTGATAGTGAGTACCTGTGTAGTTCGGAAGAAGAATCAGATTAAGAAGAAACGGTGGAAAATGTTTACAGAGAAAAAAAAAATAAAATTAGATTTACAACCTGCTCGTCATGTTAAGATAATATCATTCCAGGACCGAACTTGAATTCAATGCATGATCCAGAACAATCTAATCGTAATCTTTAAGATAATATCGTTCCAGTACCGAACTTAATTTCCAATTCAATACATATTGTTCTGAAGCTATTTTCTTGTGGCATTTTAAATTAATTACCATTTAACTGGGAATATGCCACAATTAAAGATAAAAATACGTTTATTGACGTTTCAATTTCCACTTCGGAAATCGTTCTCAAAATACAAACAGTAAAATGTATTTTGTCTCTCAATTTAGCCGACAGTCTTTTGCAAGTTAAACACACAACTACTTGCGGTCTTCCAAAACAGTAAGCAAAGTTCTCTTTAAAGAGTTTGTTGTAGAAACTATACTTTACTTTATTTTTTTGGTCAGGGTTGTCTAAAATAAACATTGCATTCATTTTTGCGACATCAAGCCTAGCATCAAAATATTTTTAGGTTTTCTCCCATAAATGGGAGGAATATTAAAACAAACTAGCTGAAACAATTCAGGAGATTGGTTATTTTATGAACAAGTTTAAAAATAAAGATTAAAAGGTAACACTTTTGATAAGATAATCCAGATTCAAGAAATTGATCATACCCGAATAAGAATATGGTCTACACAATTTGCAAGAACAGTAGATGCGACAAGTCAGTATAAATCTAATCGACATAAAAAATGTTTTTTAATGCAATTATAACATAAGTGTAAATTAGTAGAAGTTGAACAACTAGACAGTAAGTAAACCATGCTGAGCAGTATAAAGCTGATTATTCAGATTTATTGTCAAAAAATCAGTCAGTAAAGCCTCGAAAATTTTACTAATAGTAGAAAGAATTATAATGGAATGATAATTAGGAATCAATGAGTTAATGGATGAATCAATGGATAAAATCAATAAATAAATTGTGATGAAAAGTGACCCTCAGAGATTTATAAAAAATAAGCCATAGAGGCCTACATAAAAAGAATGCACAATTCCTTAAAAATAAGTTACGATATTCCATCTGGACCAAGACCTTTATTGGTATTAAGACACTGTAAGCATGCTAGAATGTCACAAATTTTAATAGTTACAGAGTAAATATGGCTGTGACTGATATGGGATCTTTGACTACACTTGTCTACATAGGAGAAAGAAGGATTGTGAATACTGCTGAAGAAATTGGCAAAATCGTTGAAACTGTGGCTAACTAAAAACAACCATTCAACTTCCCTTAACCATTACCATTCTGATTTACCTTACAAGTGTGTGGTCGGCAATTAAAAGCAGACAAGTCAATTGTTGAGTTTTAAAGTTGAAATCATAAGTATGAAAAAGATCAATACTTAATATAGAACTTTGTTTTATTTCAGCAGTAGATAAATTTTTAGGTACCTATTTTTAATAAATAAAACAGTCTCAAAAATTGACTGTTCCTTTCTGTGCACCAACCACACATTTAATCATTACAAAATTAATCATATTTGCTAATGCAACATGCAAATTAAATTTTATTTGTCTCCTCTTTACATCCCAGATATTTCATTATCAAGTTTTAATTTCCTTCTCTATGGCAACACTGGTCTTGGAGTTTTTCCAGGCAGCATCTGAAAACAAAATTAATGTACTGTAATGTAATGTAATAAATTGAACAAACTAATTTCAGATTTAGTTCATTATACTTTGCTTATTGTAAATAAATCATCATTCAAAGGTGTATGATTAAACAACTGAATTTCAAGTGCTGTAGTTTTAATGGATCTCACCTGAACTAGAAGAATACCAACAAAACCATAGGTATTTATTTCTAATGACCAAATGAGCACTAATTACACTTTGATACTTAAAAATCAAAAATAACAGTGTATAAATAAAATATATACAGCCAACAACAAACCTTCATTTCATATAGCTAAGTGTAGTTCTTAAAGCAATCTCATAGCCAGACCTGAACATTTGTGAAATGGTAAAATTTGCCATCTAAATTACATATAAGACACAGTTAACAATATGCTTCATCGGCTGTATATGGTCACTTAAGTGATAGTGTAAGTTTTTAAATGTTCCTTAGATTGATTTATGTTTAACAGTTACAAACCTTTTAAAATCAGAACTGTATGTGTGTCTTCAAAAGCTTTATATTGCTTTTTCCCTAGCCAACTATATTTTCCTTGAATTTTATTGCAGACCAGCTTCTTATGGCTTCTCTTAACAAATTCGTTTATGGTTTCCTCACCAATTTTGGAAAGCTCATTATCCTAAAATATAAATCAACATGTAACAGTAATCTAACTACCCCACAAACTTGATCATCCATGCTTAATTATTTTAGTTTAAACTATCTAATAAAAAAAACAGGCTCTGTTAAAAAATCAATCAAACGTTCATTTGCAAATTTTGGTTTCTAATAACCATGGTAAATGCCTATTAAATTTACAATTTTAGGATATATCAACAAATTATACAAACTAGGATAAAACTGACTACTAAAACTCTTTTTTAGTGAGATTCCATCAATATTTACACACATTTCTATAACATGGTTTTATTGTGAAAATAAAAATATGTTTGAAATTTGAATCATATGGATCAGAGTAATTGTTCTCTGGGTGAAGCAAGAAGGGTTCTAGCATCTGAACTTAAATGAGAAAGATCAGGAACTTCTTTATGATTTTTTAATAAATCACCTAGTATTAAAGGACAAAGTCCAGTTGCATAACTTATTAGAAAAATTAAAAACATCTCGATAAGGTTCTCCAGAATTCTCGTTACAACCATATTTAGACCCTGCTTCAGTTTTATTGAAAAAAATGCTTTGTAAAGTATCATTGGAATAGTCGGCCACGTGGTAATTTGGATTATTTTAGGTAGTTAACATGTTAATAAAAAGTTTAAATCGGAAGTATTGTAACCAGAACTAATTTACTTTTAAACATAAACAATTTTAAGAAAAATTACTTACCTTTTTGTAATAAAATAAAAACCAAATTCGAAAATAACCTAACAAAAATGGTACCAAACCTTTAACAATATACTATCAAATGAAGCATCAAAAAGACCAATGCACTGTACACTGCTTAAATAGAGTTCTTTTATTTCTTTTATTAAAGTAATAATAATAATATTATTATGATTAAACTGTACGATTTGTTTAAATAGGTATGACATGACAATGACAATATTGACAATTAATTTAATATCATCAATCATCACATGATTCACATGTCATATCACATCATTATTTTTCATTATTTTGTCTTTGAAAAGACAAAAGAGACAAATTATTCTGTGGAATAGATTATCAAGATTCATCTTGTCGATAAAAATCATATTTTTACTTATTAGAATTAGCAAACATATATCTTGATAACTAGAATACTAATACACTTTACCTAAAAACAAAAACATGTTTTGGATATATTAAACGATACAATTTTTAATTAATCACGATTTAACCTTTTCGCTTTTAATTATTTTATTAACGTAAATAATTTTTTATTTTATTGAAATATTTGCCATTTGATCCCATAATTGGTAAATGTCGGATGTCCAGAAAACGTCCGAGTTCGGACGTCCACGGGACGTCCGACTATGGACGTCCCCTGGACGTCCGAGTACGGACGTCCAGAGAACGTCCATATTTAGTCCACCCAAAGTACGTCCCACTTCGTACGTCCATAGTAGTCCATTTTACGTCCAGGGACGTCCGGACCAAAACTGGACGTATATTGGACGTCCATAGGACGTCGTGTGTTACTAGGGTTAAGAAAACACCTCTACAAACTTGAGTAAGAACACCATTTTCTTTCAAGTTATACTTGTATGAATGGGATTCTTTGTTTGGCAAGTTATCAGTAGGCACATTAAGGTTTTCTTGATCTTGGAGGCACGTGTTTTGGGTGTTTTTATTTTCTAAAGCGTAAAATGTTTCCCATAATTCTCGTTTTATTTCATCCGTAAGTTTCAAAGAACATTTCAAATTGCACTTACTGTTTATATCATCCATCGGGCTTTGTTGGGAACTTCTATTCCTTTTTACGATATGTACTGCAGTCCCTTGAGCCTAGCATTCCGAGTAATATTTACCTTTAAAATGTACAGTACCATTAAAAACACATTTTTTGATATTTTGTCGCTTAGGTGGTTTCTGAAATAAACGATTCAAATGTTGTTTGTAATAACTTTGTCAATTCCAATTACTAATTCCATAATATTTCCAAGTCCTAACTTTTGACGAGCATTGTATATTAGTCAAGCAACAGACCTACTTTGCAACTTTGCGTGTTACCCATATCGAACACCTTATCTAACTTCTCTGGAAAAATCCAAAGTAATACACCCACTACCGCCTTATGACGTCATCGGATAGTTGATTATTCGCCTCGAAAGATGGCGTGGTGTGTATACGGAAACAGAATATCGATGCGTTGGTGGTTAGAGGCGTCGCGACGAAACATTGCGAAGCGACGCGTCAAAGAGTGCAGTGGTGCGACGCCGATTCGTGGTGTACACACAGAGACAAGAAGCAGGTCAAAAAGTCCGCGTGTTCGCTCAAGCCAGCTGCTGACAAACGTAAGTAAATTTTTGTTTTCCAAAATGAATTTCATTGCGTTTTTTGCTATTTTCATGTAAATATATTAAAAGATTGATCTTGTTTTTTATAATATACTAAAAAATAAATATATTGAAATTTTTTAAAGTTAAAAAATATCTATAACCCCAAAATTTATTAACACAGCAATAAAATAGAAATAAATTTATTTAGGTGACCATATTTTACTCAAAAATTATCATATACTATTTAATTATTTAAACAATTACAATGGGGGGCAATATATTTTATATTTAAACAAATCTTCTATTTTTGCCGTTAATTATTTTTAGAATTTTAGCGTACGTATGATAAAACTTACGTTTTTATTTAATTAAGTATTTGCGGTACATTTATGCATTTTTATTTTAAATGTGTCTTTAACATTGCTGAAAGTTAGACTTAAGAGTCACAAAATATTCTCTGCCCTGTACTGTGCTAAATAGTGAATATCTTGATCTTCTGTCTTCAATATTTTTTACCATTATAAGACGTAAAAGTATTTTTCTTCACGATAAATAATTCCCAAATTGTATTTTTGTCAGTTGTTTTTAACCGGTGTTCATAAACATTAATTCTTTAGCTACCCAATTAACTTAATTTCTTATCCAAGGCATTCTTATACGGCGTAAGATACGGTTTATCATATTTATATCCTTCTTCTTCTTTTTCTTCTTATTACATAGACATGACTTTGTCTGTTTTTCAGTGTGCCTCCAGTAAGTTGTCATTCCATCGTTTTCGTGGTCTTCCTACTGATTGTCTTCGTTTTGAGGAATCGTCTCTTGTCGTCTTTACTACTCTATTTGTTGTCATTCGGCTTATATGATTGTTCCATTCTTCTCTTCTATTTCTTACTCAGTTTTTGATGTTCTCCACCTTGCATCTATGTCATATATCTGTACTTCTAGCTCTGTCCCATAGTGTCTTACCATCGATTTTTCTAAGTGTTTTCATCTCTGCTCTTTTTAACATTCTTTTTGTCCTCTCTGTGTATTAAATTGGTGCAGCATACGTTGTAAATCATTTTCACTTTGAGAGAGTAGGATTGCGTCGTCTGCATAGCAGATTATTTTAAGTTGTTTTTCTCCCATTTGGTATCCTTTCTTAGTTCTTACTTTTTTTATTATTTCATCCATAATCAGGTTGAACAATAGAGGACTCAGGGAATCTCCTTGTCTGATCTTATTGCCAGCTTCAATAGGGTCGGTTAGTTCTTCTTCTGCTTTTACTTTTATTGTCTTGTTTTGGTAGATATTTTCCATCGTTTTCATTATTCCTAGAGGTATCTCTCTTGCATACAGTAAGTGGATAAGGTCTTTTAATTTGACCCGGTCAAATGCCTTTGTAAGGTCCACGAAACATAGATATGCTGGTTTGTTATATTCTAATGATTTCTCTTGCACTTGCCTCATTATAAATATAGCGTCGGTGCTTGATCTTCCCGACCTAAAACCTTATCGTTCTTCTGCTAGTGTTATAATTTCATTCAATTTATTTGTTATCACTTTGGTTATTAATTTTAGTGTTGTGTTTAATAAACTCTTTCCTCTGTAATTTTACGGGTCCGATCCCTGTCTTCCTTTTTGAAGAGAGGTATTAGGATGCTTGATCTCTATTTTTAAGGAATTCTGTTTTGTTCTATAATTTTTTGGATTAGTTTTAATAGTTGTTTGGTCAGATCTAGTCCTGAGTTCTTTCGGTATTCTGTCTTCTTCTGGAGATTTTCTATTTTTCAATTTCCTTAATGCTACTTTTACCTATGCCCCCTCAATATTTAAATCTTAGTTTGTCGTCACCTCTTGTGTTAGTGGTTCATCATCGCCACCTTTTGCAAACAGGGATCGAAAATAGTCTACCTATGGTTCCTTCTGAATGTGTTTCATTTTTATTAGTTCATTCATCTCTTTTCTTTGTCCTCTGATTCTTCTCCATATTTCTTTTTGTGTTCCGTAGAAATCGTATTCCATCTGCTTTGAGAAACTCTGCCAGTGTTTCTTTTTTATTTGTCTAACTAAAGTATTCGTTTCATTTCTGATTCGTTTATGGTCATTATATGCCTGTTGTATTTGTTGTATTCTGTATTGTAAAAAGGTTTTCTTTTTTTTTCTTTTTTTTACATATTGTCTTCAGTTTTTCTCTAAACAATGGTGTTTTCTTTTTTGATATGTTAGTGTTCGTTACTTTCCTCTCTCCAAGTGATTCTAACACTTATATGGAACGAAGAGAAAATACCAAAAAAAAGGCACGAAAGCGTAATAATTCCTATCCATAAAAAGGGAGATAAAACCAAGTGCTCTAACTATAAAGGCATCTCCCTACTTAATACGGCGTACAAAATCTTATCGAACATCCTATTAAGTAGACTAACATCTTTTGTAGAAAACTATATAGGAGAATACCAAGCCGGATTCAGAAAAAATAGATCGACCATAGATCAGATTTTTACTCTCAGGCAGCTGCTTGAAAAAGGATGGGAATTCAATAGAACCATTCATAATCTCTTCATAGATTTCCGACAAGCATACGACAGCATTAAAAGGGATCAGATGTGGAATGCAATGGCAGAACTTTCAGTTCCAAAAAAACTTATCCAGCTCGTTAAAGTTTGTGTAAATGGCTGTAGATCTAGAGTGCGGATAGGTAACAAGTTTTCAGAGTCGTTTGAAATAAACAGTGGACTGAAACAAGGAGACGCGCTGTCACCTCTTCTTTTTAATATAATCCTGGAAAAAGTAGTAAGAACCGCACAAATTAGAACAGAACTACTGACAGTAAAGGGACCAAAATTACTACTAGCATACGCGGATGAAATTGACATTGTAGGAAATACCGTCACCAATGTAAATGAAACCTTCAATAAATTAGAGAGAGAGGCAAAAAATACCGGTCTAAGGGTCAATGAAGAGAAAACCAAATATATGTGCATTAACAGACAAAAGAGACGAGATAGAATGGGACAAAATGTAACAATAGACCCCTATAACTTTGAAAGAGTGGAGAGTTTTAAATATCTCGGAGCGACTATCACCACAGATAACGATATCACGGAAGAGATAAAAGGGAGAATTCAGGAAGCAAACAGATGTATGTATAGCCTCCACAACACTATTAAATCCAAGAGCCTAACACGAACATCAAAAATCAGGATATATAAAACAGTAATTAGACCGGTGCTCATGTATGGGTGTGAGACGTGGACGCTGACAAAAGCAATGGAAAGTAAACTCAGATGCTTTGAGAGAAAAATCCTCAGAAAGATCTTTGATCCCTATCACGATCCGAATACTAACCAATACCGAATGAGAACAAATGCCGAGGTCAAACAAATGTATAGTGCTAGCGACGTAGTCCAAGAGATTAAATCCCAACGTCTAAGATGGGCTGGCCATGTTCATAGGCTCCCTAATAACTGCCTTACCAAGTTAATCTGGGAAGAAGTCCCGACAGGGAGAAGGCCCTTAGGACGTCCACGAATGCGATGGAGAGATAATATATGGTCAGATTTGAGAACAATGGGGCTACCCACTGACTTAAACATCATGGACGACCGTTCGAGATGGAAGCAGGTTGTGCAGTCAGCCAAGACCCACCCCGGGTTGTAGTGCTACCAGAAAAAAAAGTGAATCTGTTGCTGCATTAATTATATTGTTTTTAAATTTTTGCCAGCTGGCATATCTATATCCTTTAAACTTTTATTAAACCACGTAATCACTACAGTTCTATCGCAGTTTACTATGGTAGTAAGCTACACGTTTCAGAAAGTTTTCAAATGTAGCAATATAAAATTCTATTCGGATCTGCAGCTTCGAATTGGAATTCGCGAGTAATCGAGCCGGCCGATAGATGAGCAGCATGTGTGAGAGAGATAAGGTCTTGCGAGTTGGTAACAGTTATTTGTTGATCGCTAGCGCAAGATGTTATTCCTAGAGGGCTAGAAAAGCGAAATGCACAAGAAAACTTGTACGAATCTATATCTTATGTTGGATGTTATTGTATCACTATGGTTGTTGATATATTGATTTAAATATAATATGTTTAGAATTAATCTGTATAAGTATATAGTAGTATTGTAAACAACAATATAAATCACCACAGAAAGTAGACCATCTGAAACTTTCTAGCTATTAGTAGCAGCAAAAAAATAAATCTCTATTTGTTTTAAAACTGCAACTATTTTATACAGAAGCATTTTTTAATTATTGTCCCAACAACAAATTTTTATGTATAGTATTTAGTCCAGTGACACAAAGAAAAAGGTTTCTGAGAGATTTTGCTCATAAAATCATCATAAACAATTCTTCAATAGAATTTAATTAATAAAAACTTACGTTTACCTATTGATCAAAATTTTGGTGTTCTATAGAAAAGTGTTTGCAGAAAAGTTCTTTGATTTTGAAATTTATATTTCAATCACATCATATACTGAGTTGTTGAAAAATTATTATGTATTATGAAGCTTTAATTATAGTGACACTGTTTATAATTCAATTATGAGAAAACGTAATAGTTACCGTATACAAAAATGCTAAATTCTAAATCAACAAATAAGTTATAAACAAATAATGAGGGTGGTTAAGAATGCAACTCAGTCGACATTTTTATTCGAATACGATAGAGGGACTTAATAAACTATACTCTTCAAATTAATCAAAAATGAAGTCATCAAAAGTGCCAGCAAATGGAGGTGGTACAGAATGGAGAAGAATTAAAAATATTGATTAGATTTTTATGTTTTTTATTTGAACTAGTCCATGTTCAGAGCTTTCTTAGGTGGTATTTATAAAGTGTATTTATTATCACTAGATTGTTTTCACTGTCAAACTGTAGGAGACGTTCTTCTTTGTTGTTTCTAATTACCAAGCCAATTGACTGGCTATTTTTGTGGGATTTTCAGCTGATGGAATCATTATATGATATTCGTTTGTGAATGTTATCAAGCTAACAGCAGAACTTATTCCACTACAGCCTTGATACAATA